GCTTTCTATCTGCGACAACTTCACCCCACTTCGTTAGTGCTCTTTAACGGTATGTAAATCAAGGTTCATGTAGATAGCACCATTTAACACGACTTTTTTTCAAGGTTATCAATATCATTTTCTAAAGGGCAATATAGAAAATTTATATTGTTAATTATATAAATATTTTAATAACATAAAAACAAATTATATAAATTTTTACGATACAAAAAGAAACACAAAGTTACCTCGAAATTTTACAAGAAAACCGCAGTATTCAATAGGTACTTTACATATACCAATGATTTAAAAATTACATATTTAATATCTGGTACTTGGTGCAACGGGCTGGATACCAGCCCCAGCAACTCGACGACAAGGCGCCTATTTTGCGTGATATTTAATATTTAATTACTGATGAAATGTGATTCCGTTTGTTTTTTAATTAGATGTTTTGCTGTTTTTCCCACACCACCGAAAGAAACAGCCCCCCCATTGTTAGAGATATTATCTTTATTACAATAAATACAGAACATTTTTTAAATACACGTAGACGTACACAAAGCGCAGTTGTTGGGGCTGTACTATTTCAGCTTCCTAATTTGTGATTTCAACGCAAACGAGACTTGATATTTAAAAGTGATAATAATATAAGACCCATTAGCCTGATGAGTTGCCAGGGATGGATGGCCTTTGTTTCGTCCCTATTTCTGGTTATTTACTCGATGCTTTTAAACAATACGATACCAGTGTGCACATGGCAACTAGAGTTGTCATTTGTCGCATAGCAACTAGGAATGGCAACTATGGCGGCCATTTGAAAAAAAAAATTGTATTGATTCTCCAAAAGTTGCATGAGCATTCCCAGTGAGACACCGTCGTATCGTCGTATCGTCGCGGAGTTTCAGCCGATCAGAAAAAGGTTTATGTATAAGGAAAGCGAAAATGTGGCGTCAACGTCCTTTTTTACTCCTTGTTGCAAGGACTTTTTCTGACCAATTGAAGCCGCTTCGGCTTTAGTAATATGTGATTCCCTTGCACAGGTTCTTTTATATTTATTAGAATTCGTATTTCCGAAAATAATAATAAGAGAGTATTATGCAGTGGACGGTGCTGGTCCGATGCGCCTGGGCAACTGTGATAAGGACACACGCGGAGCACCTTTGTACAAGGAACACCAACGTATCAACACCAACTTCTACAAATCCGCATACGGCTTTTTTTTCGTAAGATTTTCTACATTTCTCTTCATCTGTAAACACTTATATTGTGATAACGATAGACCTAGCGGTAGCCACGTTCCGGCAACAGTAGCTTGTTGGAGTCCAGTAGTGTCGGAGGATTTTTTGTGTTTATTTATTTATTTATAATAACACTCTTGTAGATTTACAGGTCAACCAAACGTCCAGCAAGATAAATTAAGTTTGATATAATTAGGACATCTTAAATATAACAAAATAAAGTGAGACACATAAATTGAAAATACAAAATACAAGACTACCTAGTTTTATAATAATAATTTAAGTTTACACAGCGTGCTATTGCAACTATGAGTTGAAACAAATTGTCCACGGACACATCAGCAATCTGGTTGTGCGATAGGAACTTTTAAGTTTACGAGAATAATTTCCTTATTAGAATAGAATAGAATAGAATAGAATAGAACATAATTTATTCGACGAAGGCAAATACATAAAAAGTAAACAGTTAAAAAAACATGAAACAAAAAAATAAAAATATAAAAAAGAAACAGAGTAAAAATCAGGATTGACAAAAAACAATAAACGTTGTATGCTACTATGCATGCCCCGTCGAATAGGTCACCACCTCAGCATTTGCAGGGCAAAGTATACCCCGCGCTGATTTTCAGTTGGCAACCTTGGTCGATATCGCACATTCAAACTAAGGCCTACAGGTGTTTCGAGAATTTATATATCTTATTTCATTTCGGAAATACAAAATCGAGCAACGATCGATCTGACATCCACATCGAAGAAGAACGAGCGAAATGTGCTCTGTTTTGAGAACAAGTAGGTAGAGTCTTACATATAGATCCCTGTTCTACGGATGAGTCGTTTGGTCCATTTTGGAAATGGAGTTAATGAACTTCTAAAGATCAGATGAGGAAGAAAAGTCAGGTGTAAAAATGGTTTAAAATTTATGGAACTAATGGGTATAATTATGACATTTTACTGAGAATAAACGACTCATTCAGCATGATAATTGGATGCTGATAACCAATAGCGTGTCAACCAACATGGTCATGGGTTTGAGAAAATGACGCCTATACATTTTTTCGTGGTTATGGCTAATAAATTTATGTCAGCTGTTTTTATCATTTATTATTATTTGGAGGTTTCAAACCATCTACTTTACATTTGTAAAATGTAGACGAGACGACAAGCCATAATTTGGAATTAATATCTCAATTTTCGAATTTTTGGGGGTTAACACGTTATTCTTACCACGGTGACTTCTTTTTATTTTCCCGATATTTCGGAACGGTGCAACCGTTCTCCATGCCATTTTCATGCCGTTCTCCGCTCCATGGTCACAGGTTGACTGGACGGCGGCAGATGACAGCTTTAAGAGCAGACATATCTGTCTACCCTCTTGCGCTGTCGACGACTACCTTCATCGTGATTTGTTGTGGCGTTACCATTGTCACTCACTTTTTTCACACAAACCACACTCACGGTATCCACACGCGAAACTGAACTCGAGGTGTTTTTGTTTTTATTACTGCACGCACTAAGGACCGGATTCCATGCACTGGACAGTTTAAAACCATCATCACGGTTAAATGTTTTGTACTTCGTGATCTCGATGGCTTCTCGTACCAACCGTGGTATGTAGTGACGTTCTGTCGAGAGTACCTGGTAAGAAACCTGATACTAGTGATAATAATTTAGTGAATAACCACGAAAGTCTTAAAATCTATATAACACGTTATTGTTTATCAACTATTAAGGCTTTGGCAAAGCCATCATCCCAAACATGAAGTTTAAATATGTTTCTTTAAATATGGCCGCCACTAAGAGGATAGGCAATTTGAGGCGGCGTGGTTGGATTGACTCGGGATTCCTTAAAACGGGCCGATACAGGTATTTTAGTTCGAGATTCGTATAATTTCGCGTTTTAATCTTCGATTATGCCACAATAGCACTATCCTATTCCACGTTACACTAGATTTCACAAAATAATTGAAAGTCAAAATAAAAACGACAATTTTCCCTCCAAAAGGTCCAAAGCGAATCCGCATCCGATTGCTCTGGAGGTTGGCGCGTTGTATGTTTGTTCGATCTATTTTTATGTAGGTTTTAACGGCTTTGGCGTGACGCTATACAGCCTATTCTTGTTTTATGTTGAGTTTTATTTTTCTTTTCAAACTACTCAAAGCATTTAAATGATACTGCGTTTGAAGAAGGTTTTATACAATATATTATGCGGTTTTTATGCTGGATGTTTATAAATTACCACAATACAATACTGTAGATTTGTATATTGTATATTCTTCTTCTATATTTGAGCAAGTAAGTTTCAATGATCTTTAATTACAGTTAGGACCTACTTAGGTCTCGAATCTTTTGTGGGCAAAGCTTGCAGACTTACTTGTGGCTGTACTGAACGTGCTTCTTATTTTTCCAACAAATTTTTATGTACATTAAAACTACATGTGATCATATTTCAAAAGAGCTTTTATCAAATGAAAGTGATAAAAATAACACGAATTATACGAGTATGAAACGAATTATGCATATGAAATTTCATTAAGTCTCCTATTTGGAGAGAGGCAACTAGGACAAAGAATTTAAAAAATATAATTGAGCCTGAATTAAATATTATGAGGCACTGCCCCCAATATCAGTCGGTGAAATTATTTAATAAATTACATGTACAATTTAAGATTATTACTGACATAAAACTGCTTCAAAAAAAAAGACTGATAGATTGATTATTAAAAGATGATGTTATTCCGTAGAAGATTTTAAATTAGTTGTACATTCTATAAATAGTTGTATTTTTTGTATTTTTTATTACTATTTTCCAATGGATTGTTTTAATTTTGACTTATAATAATTTTATATACTTCTGTCCTGATAATATATTATAGATTATTTACTATTTTATTTTAATTTCTAATACTTCATTCGATTATGCATTTGCATCATTCTTAATTTGAATTTGACTTGATTTGTTTGATTGATTAATTTAAGAAGAAAAAGTTATCGATTAATATTGTTTGTAGAGTCTTTAAACCTCGTCCCGAAAAGTTGCCATTTTACAGATGTGGCCTTATTACACCTCGGGTGCGTAGTTTTTGTACGAAATAGCTTAGGACTTTGATAATTTTCCAGTTTAATACTAACAGTGTTATATATGTTGCAGCTGACAGTGTACCAGATGGCGAAGTATACGTGCGTAATAGTGACCTGCGAAGCGTATAGATACTCCGACGCGGCGGTGTGGCTCGAGCACGAGTGCATTCGTGAGACACAAGGGCAAGCCAGGGGCATGGTCGGCTTCGAGCGCAAAAAGTTATTATCTCTTCACCAACTTTCTCGCTCTCTATGAAGTATAATCACTCACAGTCAATTTGATGTCCAATGAATTGTAAAATTGGTTCTGGTCAGGTTGTCCTCTGCAGTGACCCCGGATTCTATGACTCGTACACAAAGTATAGAGAAATAGTTCTGAACAAAGTGATTGATTGGTTTGAGAGGAAGCCTTAGTCAATAGTGGAGGGTTTTAAGCGTGAAATACAGAGAGCGGGTGCGGATCGGGCTGTGAACGCGGCGGGTCTAATTCCGTGTATTTATATGGACGACAATACACCAAACGCGGGCCCGTGCACGGAATTAGGCCTGAACCCGCTCTCTGTGTGTTTCACGCTATAAGCAAGGTTCGAAGTGATAATTATAATTGATAATTATCACGATAAATATCTTAATAAATATCCATTGATAATTGTTTTGATATTTATAAATTTAACCGGAACAACGAAATGCTACTAGCAATGTGTTTGTATCTTATGGTGTCACTTCACATGGCAATTTGTATTTGCGTATTTGATATATTTAGCAAACAATCACCATGTGTAGATAGCATGTGTGACAAGGTATTTGCCTTGTTTGCATGTAACATTTTTAGTCAAAAATTAAAGCGACAAAACATGAATCAGCACGGATAATTTATCATGATAGTTATCAAAGAAAATAAATAATCTTGATAATTTTGAACCCAGGTTTTAAAGGGCTTAAGATGGCAATGGATTAACAATCTGGCATACAATAAAATATTGTTTCAGAATGGACTGCTACGTATATTTCAAGACCGCAGCTTTCGTAGAATTCCGCTACAAGTTTGTATACTCAGCCAGATTAGAGTTGGCGATGTATGGCCACGATGAGCCACTTGCTAATGTGCCCGACCCGTGGACGAATACTGAAACCACCGACCCGTGGTGGCCCACGGACAAGAAGCTTGTATGGGGCAACTTCAAACCCGTCGGACTTCCTAAGTGGGATGTATAAGCCGCAGAGTACATATTCTTGTATTTGCCCTTACGTCATTCTTTATTTGTGACGTAGTACAATTATGGACGTTGTTATGTACATTTGAAGCATCTTTGAATTTCGTGGAAATCAATCCTGTGAAAACGATTGTGCATCAATATTGTATCTGATATATAATGTGATTTTGTATAATTATATATAGATTTTCATTGCCAAAGAGATGTATATGGTTTACATAACCTCGCACATACCACACGTCCTTGCATCAACAAAGAATACGCTAAAATAGCGTTGATCACACTTTTAAACCAATATCAACATTGTAGAGGTTTTCTTTGGGTACAATATCAATTCTTCAAGCTGCATACTATTTAAATTCTTACGCAAACGTAACATTAATTTGCAATATTATTATATTAGTGCTTCTTGGTGAAGTCACTATTTTTTATGAAATCTAATAGTATGATTTTGGAACTTTCACACGAATTTATTATAGAACCAACTTACCAATTTTGGATAATCTAATTCTCATCTGATTCTTATCACAGATTGCGACTGTGGTTAGAATCACTAAGATTAGAACTAAAGTGAGTGGCGATTATAACACGTTCTTCTTTTTTATTTCCTATGCGCTGAACGAGGAAGTCTCGTGTTCGATTCTCAGTAGGATCAATTTGGAAACTTGTGTAAATTAAACTTAACTTATAAAACAAAAATAGCAAAACAAAATATTCTTAAAGGAAAAACCCATTCATTAAAACCCCGGCACAAATATGCCTCTGAAACCAAGTGACTCAAGGGTTAAAAATCATATTTACTTCGAGTAATTATTTCTTATCAACCGACTTCAAAAAAGAGGGAGGTTCTCAATTCGATTGTGTTTTTTTTGTATGTATATTACGCAATTACTTCTATCTAAACTGACAGCTGTTTCCGCCATGTTTGTTTTTTTAATATAAAAATAAAATAGTAGACACGCGCTTAGACACAGCCTGATCTGATGTTGAGCAACGATGTGATAGATGATGGTACATTAATACGGTAAATTAATTCTGTATCTTTTTAACTGACTTCATTTTATTTTTGCATGTACGTTACGCGGTAACTCCGGTAATTTGTGAACCGATTTTGATGATTCTTTTTTTATTGGAAAGAGGTTACTTTAATATTGATGATGTATTGAGGAAAACATTCCACGTCTAAGTTCCGGTAACCGATTTCAGTCAAACTTGGCAAATAATTCCACGAACTTTTGAAGTCGGTTTTTTTTGTAAAAAAGTTATAATAACTGAAAAGCTCTGTCAATAATAATAATAATTATGAAACCGTGAAATCTAGGTTCAGTAAAAGCTTTAATAAAGATAACCACAATGATATTATACTAGCACTAATTCGTTAACGTAAAGCGTCTCGTTGTTGTCTTCGGGACGGACGATGCGTACGCGCACCTCGGCGACTCATTCGGTGTAACGAGGGGTCCCATTAGTGAGTATTATACAACATTTTGTATATTCTAATTCGTGAGAATATTTAGATTCTTTTGAATTTGATGTGAAGGTTTTGAATTTTGATGCGAAAAAAGAAATAAGTTTTGAATTATATGATTATCCGATTTCGTGTTAGTAATTTGAACACATTGTATTGTAGAGTTTCACTTTATTATCTGAGACAAAAGAACTCTTAATTTGATAGTTAAAGTAAATAGTAAATAATAGTTATCAATATTGATTAATGTATTTTATTTTGGGTGTGTGTTGTTTGGTATATGCCGAGAGTTTAGTTATAATTTGTGTGTTAAAAGTAATAGCAATAAGCTAAACAAATGGAGATTTTTTATCCTTGACTCTTTTTTTGGAAGAAAAGTCTATGGCATCGCTTAGGGCATAGTACCCGGGAAACTCGGGAAACTGACGTTTCTGTTTTAGGTAATTATAATTGTTTTTGAATTGTAACTAAAGTATTTAGAATAGCTGTCTCTGAAATAGACCGCGTAATAAATAGAATCTAAACCGCGTATATTTGTTTTTTTTTTCAAACAAATCAACGTCTCTTCACAGGTCCCTTCAGAACTACACTTTGTAACATATTTTGTAAATCCTTCATAATTTTATATTAAACTAACTGTACCCGGAGTTGCAATGTCACTAAAAGAAATAAGTAAGTTTGTCTGTTAGTTCTGACAAAGATAAACGAAAGTCAGTTTTCGAGAAAAGGCCATTAAAACTTCTGAAAATAAAGTTCTAAATTTTACAACAACTTTTACCTTACTGTTACCATAAGTTAGATATTTGAAAATGAAAATGTGGACAACTGTAATAGGCGCTATTCAGCTTTACCCAAAAACATTTGGTCAGAGTGTAGGAAAACGGGCTCTATGGATATAGGACTTATATAAAATTTCGTTATAAATTGTTTTAAATGATAAATTAGATCTAAATGAACACTTTTTATTATTATAGATTTTTCTCTAAGCCTTATAATTTTCGAGAAAATTCATTGACTTACAATTATAAATTGCTCAGAAAAAAAAGTTTGGTACTTAGGCGGACGAGGAGCGCACACATTTTTGACCTAAGAACATGTCCGGAAACGCAAACAAATTTTTTTCTGGCTTTTAAAAGCAACTTACGATAACATAAAAAAATTTAGATTGAATTTTGACTGTCCCAAAAAAGATTTTCCAGTTTTTATTTTCTTGGAAACTATGGACCGCAGAAGAAAATTATTTACGTCCAATTTATCCGAAAGAACCATCACAAACAATTTATATCTAATTTAAAAAAAAATGAAATTTTTCTAATTCCTGAAGCCTTAGTAAATTAAAATTTTCTGCCTAATTTTCTCCGAAACTATAAGGCGTACAGAAAAATGCATAACAACAAAAAGTCCAACTTAGCCGAACTAAGCATTACAAACAATTTACAACTAAATTTTTAAAAGTCTTGTCTTCATAGTGCCCCTTTCGTACAATCTAACCAAATATTCAATATTAATAGCTGTTGTTGTTCCGATTAAAATAAAATAAACTAAAAGTAACAAAAATAAAACAATATGTAATTGATTACGTATATAAACAGCAATGGCTGCAATAATATATGAAGAACTCACCTTGGAAACATCCAATGAAATATTGTCCATAAATTCCTTTTGTAAATTCACTTGTTCACTTAACAATAAATAATGCACTTCAAAACCACTTTCACATCTTTGTTGTACACACTTCAAAAACCTTAGCAAACTTAAATAATTGACACTTTAACCATTATTGTTCAATTAAGAGGAAAATTGCGAAAATCGAATAATAAAAACTAAAAATTCACAACAATGTATAGAGAACACAGGTGCACTCGAGAGTTTACTACCAACTGACGCGACGCGGCGCCACCGTGCGTTGCTTGTGCGCAGCTTTGCACACACGTCTCACTCGCACTCATAGAAGTTACAGCTATCACCTGTGAAGGAAAGAGAGAAATGATTAATGATATAAGTCCGTTGACGGGCAGCGAAAGCTCCAGTGCTATGCCCGTTTTAATAAGGACTCTGGCAAAGGAGATAACATGTCTTATAAGATTGCAAATTCGATTGTCCGCATGAGTTATTTTTTAATATTGTCTCGTTAAACAAATCATATAGATTTTTATTTGTAAAACAAGATTACAGGCCCACAATAATCGACTGGTCAGCTCTCTGAATATCTGTATATTTTAATTAGAAATAGACCCATTATGCTTATTTACACTATTTAATATTTTTTTGCGTTGAGCACTTCTTCTACTTCCCTCGAAGATGACAAACGAACTATGACCTATATGGCGCATATATATTGTTGTTTATAACTGCTAGATATTCTTTATGTATACCTTTTTAATTTCAAACTTTTTGTTTATCACGTTTTTATAAATTTAATTTTAATTTTTGTTTAGTATCTGTTTTTCTTACTATAACGCTAAAACACGGCTATGTGATAAAATCATTTACTTGAGATGCCATGAAAAAAACCATAATCCAGTTTTAGAATATTGCAATTGTTTAATGATATTTTAGACACCCATCATTAGGGTAAGTTAAAATATTGTAAACACGTTAATTAACTGTTTTTAAATAAATAATTTTAAGCTCCTTCTAATGTTATTTGAAATGGATATTTGACAACTTAATAAAAAGATATTTATTTATCCACAAAACACATAAACAAACATAACCAAACAATTAAAACAAAAGAACCGTCATGTGGACAAAAAGGATGTAGACTCAGTATTGTTGATTTTCAGGTTTCACCTTAAAGCTATTCGCTTGCTGCATCAGACCGGCAAGCGGAGTGTATACTAAACACCAAGCAATTAATAGAGGCTGTCTGTGTTGCACTATATCGTCTGTTTAAAGGTAAAACCACATAAGTGACATTTTCCACAAAAGTCTCTAATTTATGTAGCTATGGTAAGAAAATCACTACCTTTCTGCACGCGAAACTCAATAACAAAAAAGCTATATACTTAATAAGAGTCTTATCTGCAGAAAGATTGTGATTTTCTTACAGCAGGTACATAATTTAGAGATTTTTTGTGGAAAATGTCACATATGACGACATGTAAAATGTATTAAAAAAAATTGTAATTAAAAACAGAAAACATTCTAAAATTGTATTTATTTATTTAGTCTCTTAGCCGCGTCTTTAGACGGCAGTCTCTATTGTTGTGTTTGCTTGACGTGTTATCGTCAAAGATCATAGTAAACTGGCTTTGCCGTAACAAAAAGTTGATTCGCTGTAAGGTCGTCTTTCGACCGAGCACCGCGTTCGAGTTATACCTGTAATTTATATCAACTCTCACAATAACTATTTTTGCCCCGAGGGCTGCAAATTAATTTATGTTACATGAGTAGAATTATGTTATATTTCAAACTTTATTAACATAAAGACAGTGAGCTCTATTTTCTATTTACTATTCACTTGAGATCAATCCAACAAGTATAAACTTGGTTGGTCTACCTTTAATAAAAATTAGTGCCCGTGTACTCCTTCTTGTTCCGTCAACATATCAACCGGCGCAGTGGCAGTGCCTCTCAAATCTTCGCGAATTAAAGCTCTAAGTGGCAATGTAAGTGTTAATGCCCCGTGTACATCGAAATGTACATAATAAGTTAAGTGATTCAGACCCAGATAATATTATTCCTATGACCACGTCAATGCCCAATGTACATTATAATGAAAATATTACATTCAAATTTAGCGCTTTATATTCTATACATGACCGTAGGGTATTTAGAAAAATGTTTCTCATACAAAACTGAGGGCAAACTTGTGGGTAATTATAATTATTTAGTGCATTTTAATATCCAATGTGTCGTATATGGATAGTCGCTTTCCATTAGGCTTGCAACTTTTCGTTCTCAGCCAACATCCTTGTCACCGAGTATCAACTAGTCTTACAGAATAACTCAATGAGCCCAAATACGATAGTTCAGCTTAAGTAGTCGAGGAGTTGTATAGTGTGCAGGCAATCCTAGTTGCAGCATCAGACCAAGGTCATATACTTTCTTATTTATATGTTTCACTGAGAAGATACCCGTCTCTACACCGCAGCATGCTGCGGTATCTCCAGCTGCGATACTTACCAGGTGAAGTCTGACAACCAGCAAATTGCTGATGCTTTTATTTCGACTAAGTGTTAAATGATAATTTAATTAATTTTTTATATAATATCAAGTGATAGGACGAACAAGTCGTGCGCTGGATGGTAAGCTACACGCCTGTCTATAACAGTTGCAGTGCCACTCAGAGCTTTAAATCGCAAAGATCTGAGGGGCACTGCCACTGCGCTCGTGACCTTGCGATCGTCGTCGTCGTTACTCTTCAAAACCGAAACACAGTCGTGCTGACATTATTTGCTTGGCGGTAGAAATAAGTAAGGTGGGAGTACTTCCCTCTACGAACTCTTTCACAAGGAGTTCTACTGCTACTAAACTTACTTAGTAGTTTAAATGTAATTATTATAGTGTAGTTTTAAAGGGATTATTCCTATCTGATACCAAATTTTAATTGCAAGTGATCCCTTTTATATTTTGCAACTCCCAACGGATCCCCTCATTGTATTTGTAAGGTAAGTACCGTCAAGAGAAATAGAAATTTTGAAATCAAAGTTAATACAGTTATATAAGTTAGTATAGTTAATGTTGTTCGTTTCTAATAAACTAAATAAAATACAGTACAACTTTCAAATATATTTTTTTGTTGACTGTACCACAGTACCAACCAAAAATAAACTTGTAAGTACAAGGGTATGAGGTGGGAATAAAATATCAATATTTATTCTTGATCCCATGTATTGGGGATCTGATAGGAATAGAAAATAAAACGGATCTCCACGCGATGGTTGTAGGGGAAATATCTTTTTTAGGATTACAATGTAGCGATGTTGTTATTTATGATTATTATCGAAATCTCCTTTTCTAGACTGGTTTATTTGACTAATGCTCTCTTGTCAAACTATTTTCCAATAAATTATGTATCCAACAACAACTTTTGCACATAACTGTTAATTCCATTTTAAGGACTTGATTTATAAAGTCATTGTAATTTTATGCGGGCAAAACCGCAGGCTGTCGTATTGCCTTTTGTTGGAGTTTAACAATAAGAAAAACTATTGCGAACTTTTAGTTGTAGAAGCTACTATCTGTATTTAAATCTAGTCTACTTTTGGTTAACCGCACACTTAACGTTGATAAAAAAACAAAAAATAGATGGCGCTCGTTGTTGTTGGAAATGGTGTAAAAGTAAGACCCAAGGTTGATGAAAACCGATCTAACATGCTTTTATGTTTGTATCATACAAACTGACAAAAGCTGATTATGATTACGGTCAATAGCTACGATAATATGATAAATATGGGTAGCAATAGAGCTCAGCCAAAACTTTTCACCTGCAGCTTGATTTTGATTGATTCTTCCGATCGGAAATTTTTGACGTTTCAAATCGGAACAATAATTAAGCGAATATTGGCCAAGCGTGCGTTTATTTTTGTTAGATAAAAACAAAATAACCTAACCTCAGTATCGAGTACTAAAAAAACGACCTCAAAAGTCATTCATCCCCTAGTTTGCCACGCTTAGAGGTGGATTATTTTCTTCAAATTTAAATGGGACCACATCTGAGGTACCCTCTTTCCAATAAAAAAAGAATCATCAAAATCGGTTCACAAATGCCGCCGAGTTATCGCGTAACATACATACAAAAAACAAAAATATACAGCCGAATTGAGAACCTCCTTTTTTTTCCAAGTCGTTTAAAATACTATAGATTTTTTAATTTAGTAATAATCCGGGTAAGTACTGCCAACTTAAAAAAATAACAGAAATTAATCCACACGCGAAAAGAAACCCAAATAGTCTTTGTTGCTGAAAATGTGCATAAAGATTATTTTACGTAAGAAGTTCATACTCACGGAAGAATTATGTGGTTTGTGTTTATACTACATGTGCATTAAATTTATAATAAACTGCCAACTGAAATAAAAAATCTGGCATTTTATAGAATGACAACTGAAATGCTTAAATGCCTTAGAGGAAGGAAAAAATACCTAATTAAAGAAGGATATTATCTTAGAATAATAACGCATAGAATGATAGTTTCATATCAAACGAACTGTCACAAGTGAGGCAAAAATCAAATTCATGTAGGCTAGTTTTGGTAGTAGGTTAATTTTCGGTTTTAGTGAATATTTATATTAAAATACAAGTTGAAACGCGTTACTTCCTTGTGGAATGTGATGCTAGTATCTATTTTATGTTTGTCTGACGTATTTTTACACTCATTTGCCGCACATTTCGTCATTTTTCGCTAAAATTCTTGATCTGTTCGCCGTGCAAGTTGACCTTGAGCACTGAAGGCCCTCCCGCTCGTGTAGGCCCTTTGGGCGCGCTTCAATTTGCCTCACTTAGCGTGTGCGGACCAGGTTTCTATGCGTTATATTCTAAGGATATTATGATTAAACTTTTCATGCTTTTGTGTAGTGACTGAAGGGAAGAACTCTAATATAACAATTACCATCCTGTGAAACCTATTCAATACAAATAAACCACATTTCATTTCATTTACTGCGTTCCGGTTGTGAGGGGTAAGACTGCTGGTGAAATTACAGGTATTCTGGACTTGTGAACTTTATTCGCACAGCGACAGGCGCAGTGGCAGTGCGCCTCAGAACGCCGCTTGCCACCATGCTCACGACTTCCTTGCCCCGGCAGTTGATATCATTAAAAAAATGATATATCCGGGAAGTGCAGTCAATGGTACGCACAGATTTACACTTAAGATTTAATTTCATCTCGTAAAACTGTTTATTTCAAGCTCTTTATTTTCAGTGTAGCCTTTATGACGTGAATTAAAAGCTCTTTACCGAAGAGTTT